CCTGTGACATTGCTCAGGAGTTCATTAGCCTCTTCTGAATCCAAAAGTGGTATTCGGGTATAATAGGGAATTCGTCCAAGATTGGCAACATTCTCTTTAAAAGTATTATATTTTTATGTTATATTTTTTTATATTTTTTCAAGGACTTTAGAAAATATTGACAACAAACTAATGGGACGGTACGATGTCACTTCATTTTCTGCCTTGTTTGGCATTACGAATGACTAAGCTCTTTTGGCAGGGTGACTCGAGAAAGTTATCTACTTTCTGTATGCGGGTTATCAATATCATTTGGCTTAAATACAGAGTGCAGTTGTTGAGCAAATGCTTTGGCTTGTTCATTATCAGATCTACTCCATTCGACTTTACAGTTTCGGACTACTGTGTTTCTTTTTGCAGGTCGCTTAAGATATTTGGTTGCTCTCCATAAATTATGTTTGTGGATCAAGATTTTAAGATATTCAGCGAGAGATTCATTTCTTAAAGTTGACAGTAGTTTTTTGAGATCAGATGCCTTGTTATACGATCTATTGTCGGCAGGGTAGAGAGTTTCTTGTATTTGCTGTCGGATTTCAGCTGAGAGATAGAGCTGATTTGATTGTAATTTTCTGGTTGGAAGCTTCGTACATATATAGCTTGATATATGGATCTTGTTTGTGAGAAGCACCACAGCATGGTATATCTCCTCTCCTGATTTTAGAGAGATATCCAGGCTGATAGCAGTTTCCGGATAGCTTTTAAACGCATTGATATCAGTATTTGCAGAAATTAATTTGTATAGTTTTGTCAATATACAGGGTGAAAGTAATGCGCATGGTATCATTGTCACGTAACTACGTCGTAACACGCTCGGACCTGTCTGAAAATTTTGGGCGGAGTCTCTTCTTTCCAACGCGCTCGGTCTCAGTTCGCTCTGAGCAATAGAAGTGGTAGGACGTGTCGTAGAGCGAAGTCATTTTTCCTGTTGTGTCACGGTGCGATGGAGCGTTCGCTGGAACAGCGGTACGCCATAAAGTTTTGTGTGCGACTTGGCAAAAATGCATCGGAAACTTATCAAATGCTTCGAGAGGCCATTAAGGAGGAGTGCATTTCGAGATCTCAGTGTGGAAGGTGGCACAAGGCCTTAAAGGAGGGTCGAGAGGAGGTCACCGACGATCCACGTTCCGGACGTCCAACAACAGCACGAATTGATGAAAACGTTCGCCGTGTGCGAGAAACTTTGAGTTCAGACCGTCCATGTACCGCAAATGTTGACAAGTTTAGGATGTTAGCGATTGACCGGATGCTTAACCGACGGTCTGAGCTCAAAGTTCATGAGCTACTCTACTGTATGTCACTATTATTGGAGAATGGTCTGAGCTTAGATCAAAACTTTCCATTATCATGTTACGAAGTCTATTAAGTCTGGTATCTTTCTACGGTCAGTAGGCCAGTATGTAGGCTCGGCTCAATATCTACATAGAACATGTTCAGTGGCGTTTTGGTCGCACGGCTTTTAATATTACTTATGTTTCCAACAACACGACTTTTTGACTCTATAGCACTTTTATTTTCATTTAAATTTGTAGAAAAATGCAAATTCTTAATAACAACTCTAAATGCTCTGTCTTCCTTAAGCTGATATGTGTGGTACTTCACACAATCATTATTAAGTGTTTTTACTAATTTTCTGAATTCTTCAATACTTTTAACCATTACTCTTACATGTCCATCACGTTGAGTCCAAGTAACGACCAAGTAACCTTTTCTGATTGTACCCGCGAATTGGCCGCAACAAAGTGATGTCGGTTCATTTAAAGTGACTAAAATCGGAATCCGCAAAAGAACCTGTGCGATCGGACTTCATTTAAAGACCTAATTTTGTGGCGTGCTTCTTGAAGTGAAACCGTCACTAAGGTGTAATCCAATTAAATGGTGCACAGTGCAGTTCACTAAGACAGTGCAGGTCAGGACCGTCCAAACGACACCCGAAACTACTATAGTCCCCCCAACAACCAAGAGTGCCGAATAGGCGTTTTAAAGAAGACAGCGGACAATCACGTATGCAGACTGATGAAATTCATCACCGGTACGAAGAATTAGATTACGATAACGAAACTAAACATTACATTAATAACGACGAACGGTTCCACGAAGATCAATTACAGAATACTCAGACAGAAATGTTTTCAGATCAGAAATATCAAGCTGAAAATTTTCCAATGCCAGCTTGGGATCCCACCAATACATAGAGATTATGTTTATAAACCACAGATATAGATGCATAGTTGATACTGGCTCTTCAATAAACATGATGAGCTCAAACTTTTTCAACCTTCAAGTTAAAGATAAGCAAATAACTGTCCAAAGTATAATAGCCTATTCTAAATAAAATAAATAAGTATACCTTCCAGCCAACGGTCTTTTTCAACAAACACAAAATTCTATACTCATTCATTTTCACCTTATTATGACATTCTATTACGAAGAAAAATACTAATGGAAAATAACGGTTTACTTTTGGAACGAAACAATAATTAACGAAAAAAGATTCATTCACAAAGAACTAAATCCATGTATTAGGAACTCTTCAAAAATTTTTAATGCACTCTTACAAGAAAACAAATTTACATCAGAAATAAACTATGCCATGGACAACAACGTAGACTCAGAACACACATACAGACTAGAACATTTAAATAGTGAGGATAAATACAGTTGGTGGACTAACGAAATCTAAATGAAAAACCAATAAATGATGAATTTCCGATTCCTAATATGGACGAAATACCAGGCAAATTAGGAAAATGCCAGTATTTTACTACGATAGACTTAGCAAAAGGCTTTCACCAAATCGAAATGGACCCTAAGTCTATACCAAAAACGGCGTTTTCGACCAAACATGGTCACTATGCCATTTGGCTTAAAAAATGCTCCTGCAACCTTCCAACGGTGCATGAATTACGTCCTAAAAGATTTCATTAACAAGCATGGCCTTGTTTATTTAGATGATGGGATCATCTATTCAACACCTAGACTCACTGAGAAAGGTTTTTGAGAAACTTAAAGAAGCCAATCTTAAACTCCAATTGGACAAATGCGAATTTTTAAAAAAGCAAACAAATTTCTTAAGGCATATTATAAGTCCCAAATAAAGAGAAAGTTAAAGCAACCATAAAAACACTCTCTCACAAAGACAACAAAAGAAATTAAATCTGTCTTAGGCTTACGCGGATACTACCGTAGGCTCATTCCAGATTTTGCAAAGATTGCAAAACCTCTGACAATATTTCTAAAAAATATACGATAAATCATTTAAAAAATTTAAAACACTCATAATGAACGAGCCAATTTTGATTTGCCCCGATTTCACAAAAACATTTCAAGTCACTACTGACGCTAGCAATTTCGGCATAGTAACCGTGTTATCGCAAGACAATAAACCAGTAAGCTTTGCAAGCAGAAAATGATCATGAACAAAATTATAGCACTATTGAAAAAGAACTACTAGCAATCGTTTGGGCAACCAAATATTTCCACCCATTTCTATATGGATTCCCCTTTTAGATTTTGAGCGATCAGAAACCACTTCCTTGGATAAATAATATTAAAGAACCTAACATGAAACTACAACGTTGGCGAATTTGACTTAGTGAATATAATTTCAAAATCAAATATTTAGAAGATAAACTTAACCATGTAGCAGACGCTTTATCTCGCGGCAATATTGAAGAAAACATGGTAGGCGAAGAAGAAAATATTTCAACAGCAGCAACAATACACAGTTCATCAGAAAGCACAATTGAAATTACAGAAAAACCAATAAACTATAAGGTTGTCAAATTTGTTGTCTTTTGAATTTCGCGGCTATGTACAAACCGCTACAGAGCTCGTATCTGGCAATACTAAACATAATTTGAACTAAATCCGATCGCTGTAACACTTTTTATAAAGCATTGAATAAAGAGCAAAAAAAGCGGAAGGGAGATATTATTTTGCAAGACAAATTGAATTTATTAAAGATAGCGTTGAGCAAGTAGTCAACGAAATACTTTTCCAAAACAAAACTGACCATTAAATACACTGACATGACCCTGACAAAGGCAACAGACATCCTCATTAAATACTTCTTAAATAATAATAGTGTTACTTACCTCCGCAACTTGAATTACATTCGTCAAACGAAGTAATAAAAATGTACAAGAATCAGACGAGTTTAATACCAGGCGCAGCGTATTTACAGAAAACGATAGAAAGCGAAGTAGAAGAGATCATACGCAGTTATGATGGCACTAAAACTACTCCAGTCAAAATATGGATATAAGAATTTTAAGAACATGCGACGACGACATTCCAGAAGTTGTGAAATTATTTTAAGCGATACATGTTTAAACTTGTGGAATTCTCCAAATAGCATTGCTAACCGAATTTAAGTCGAGTGTAAGCAGCAAGCTAGTTCACGATGAACTCGCGCAAACGAGACGTATGAACAATATGTACTTTTATAGAATGAAATGTATTGATCTCGAGGAAACTGACGAAAAAAGTGTAAACAAAACAATATTATATGGTCCGAAGAAAATGAGTCAATTTATAGAAAAACTAAAGAGTACTAAAACTTAAGCGTACTGTGTGTGCGGCTGCGGGACAAAGAAGCGATGTGAGGACGTATCGACAAATTATAATTATTATATTCTACATATATTATTTCTTTTAAGATATGAAAAAAAGTAATACTATTATAATAAATGAATACATGAATTTGATATATTTATTTAAGGAAGGTATTTGCAAGCTAGTTTTAAAATCATAATTACGCTCTCTCATTAAAATATCTACTAAAAATGGTAAGTAAAGAATTTAAAATATGAATTAGGGTTCTTTAAAGGGTTTTTTATTGAATATAATTCTCTAAACCATATTATAATAGTCGAAACAGATTTGTTATGCATTGATATTATTATGGATTTTCGTGTTATATACATGAATAATAAATAAAGAAAGTCTACATTTATACTTACTATTAAACTCCAAGCGCAAAGTTCGAATTTTTTCCAACACAACAGGCTCCAATTGATGTAATCTTCTACCCTCACCACGATGGACATCTTTTAGATATGAGCTTTCAATCAAGGCACGGTTAATTATTCCAGGCTCGATGTCTGGGTAAATAACTTCATCCACAAGGGGCTTCTGCACTTCGGAATTATTCATTTGATCCCCTTCCATACCAACTGTAGTTTTTAAAGAAAAATATATATAGTTAGGTATTAATTTTGAAAATCTATTCTGTTTTGATGTATAACTCTATGTGTTCTAGGACTCAGTATAATAAAAACAAAAATCTAAGAAGTTGGAAACTTTGCAGGTGGAGTAGCAGAATCTGACTAGACTGAAACTTATTCACTATTTATTTGCTTATGATTACATTTCGTTGTAATATCTACGTACAGTTATTGGGATTTTATAGTGGAGTCTTTGTTGGTTGGTAGTCGAGTTTCTCGACTATTAGATACCCGTTACCAGATATTGGCAGGGCGAACGAGAAAATATATTCCCCATTTCGGCATATCAATAAAAAATTTTAAAAAAACATTTGATAAAATAAAAAAAAAAACAAGACTAATGATAAAATGAAAAAGTTTCAACACACTTTTTTAAAACTGTTGGCGTGTTAGATTTTCATTTCTTTGGCAGCAAACCTACGACGCGTCTATGTCTCCGGAATCTGCTTATTTTTTTTTCCCAATTCCTACCGATATTCCAAACAATTTTGAAATTTCTCATCTCGTTTTTAATAGGTTTATTTATTTGTGTTTTTATTAAAATCCTGACTTCTTTAGTTTGTGTTGTTTATTGTCTTTCGGCTTCTAGCCAATCTCTTCTATTTGTTATTATAAGGGATTGGGAAACTCGCCAGCGTGAACGAGAAGACTCTTGGGCTACCGCCTCGGGCATTGGTGCGAGTCCACGCACGTATCATCCGGCGAGCCGCACATCGACCGGCACGGCAGGACGACCACGGGGCCGAACGGCATTCATACTGTATAGTTTCCTCATCTTTTCCTATGGGACCGGGTCGGAGTTTCTTACAGCAACCCACCTAATCAAATATAAATTCCTGAGACGAATCTGGACCATTCCTGAATCATCCGAGGGACTGACAGACAGATCGACACATCGTTATAATGTTTTTCATCGCATTGTTCTGCGTGTTTTCTTATAGGAATCTATATTTTGTGTCAATTTCATAGTTTTGTCGGTTTTCATAAAGTTTCTTAATTTTGCTTTTAATAATAACATGGAAATCATAGGTGGGTGTGCCTGCATAAAGTAGCATCTAAGCTGGTATCTGTATGGTTGAATGTGTACAAGATTGTTTCTATTCCTGCTTCCCTCTTTTCTTTATTATTTTTAGTATTGATAATTGTGTGAAGGTGTTCTACATCTGCTATTCAGGCAAACGTATGGGCGCCGACTCTTTGTCTGCTTTAATTTCCTGTGGTTTTCCCATGATGTAAATATTCTTGTTAGGGCTCTTTAGGTTTCTAGCCAATCTCTACTATTTGTTATTATAAAGGATGCAAATTTTGAAAAACGGATTAACATAAACCTTTTAAGTTCTACTTAGTTAACTTAAGTTTTATATGTCAAGAATACCCGATAATTAAGTTGTTACCGTGAAGCGATTTGTGACTTGGGAGAATGTTACTTATGAGTGAAGCTTTCCAAAAGATCGGGTTTAGCTTTTTATATGAAGAGTGAATATGTCACTCTCCCACCTTTTAGATATTAGCTTGTCCTCAAGCGATTATTTCTGAATATAATTGTGGTACTGCATTTTCAATTGAACCATATCTGTTTTTGATTCTGTTTTTTTTTCGATATTTTTGTTAGCGGTTTTACTTGGTTTTAGGTAAGAGATAATAATTTTGTGTTGCGCTGTTTGAAGTGTACGTAGTTCGACAGATTTTAACTAGCTGGTCTTTTAATAGTGGTTGGTAATTACTAATAAAGAGGACCTTGTACTTCCTTCGCCAGCTCGCCGTAGGTCGGGGTTATTTTAGCTTAGCCTTAGCTTAACGCTAGTACATTTAATAAGTGCGTCTTATTCAAAAACAATATTCAAAACTGGACTATCGATTAATAAAAGAAATGGCTTTATATTGATACTACGGATACACGCCGACACGTGTGAATATAAGCTAAAGATTCTGATAAGTATTGGGTATTTTGGATGTTAATAATTCCCTAAGTCTTTACCCTCCCTACCATGACAATGCTACTCAAAATATTTACATTGTCCCTTGGCCTAGTTCAAAATAACTCTACCACATATTTAAGAAAGTGTTCAACATAAGTACTCGACAAACCACTATTCACAATTCATTCTTTTTCAATATATCTTCAATTATAATTCCATTTATATAAATTCAGTTTAGTAAGCTGTTCCATTAAATCTCTTTTACAAACTAACAAATGTTAACCTACGCATAATTACCCTATTCAGTCTCTAACTCTTCATTTTCGTTTATATTTAGTGAGTTGTTACGAGGACTGACTGGTTTGACAGCCCTTTTTAATAATTAATATCAAATTAGTACAAACGATATTGTATAATTCTTATTTCATTTATTAACGATTTCGTTTATTATACATACAGCATTAGTTAAGTGCGCTTGGTATGTAAGTGTCGCGAGAGACAGATTAGAACAACCGAAGAACGACTTACGACTGACTTGAAGAGTCCAAAGCAAAAACGTAAGAAGCTGAGCATGCGCAAAAGCTCGTTAAAGAAGAAAGCGATAATAACATAGTGAGATAATTGAAAGCTAATATGTGCAAGAAGTGACCGATTACAGTGGGCAAGAAAGATTATTTGAAAATGTAATTTACGTTAAAGTTTAAATTGGCAAAAGTATAAATGTTTTAGAGAAATTAAATAGATCGCTAGTTCTGCTCCCGACATGAGTAAAATAAAGTATATAAAAGTAAAGTATAAAGCAAATAGATATAAGTAATTGAATATAAAATTAGCAAATATAGTTATATAATATTTAGCCAAATGCAGATCTTATTTTATTTATACGTTCGAGTGGCATTTTGTAGAATTTTAATATAGGTAATTCATAATAATGTTTTTTATCATTGTTGTTTTGTAGTACTCACGACCTTAAATATCCACTCCATTATGTGCGTAAAGTTGGGCCCAAGTTCACGTTGACATTGTCGAGCTGTAGGTCAAACTTTAAAGGTTCTAAGTTAAATTCCTATTCAAATGCCAAAAGTTCCGTCAATCTGCGAGTATTTAATTCATTATTCATTGCAATACAAAAGAAAATCAAGAATCAAAACGAAAAAAAAGGGTGTAGAGCAACCAAATGTCCTCATATAGGCCTTGGCCTTCCTTACGCCTTGGGGTCGAATCCCTTTCACACAGATCACACACGGAAATTTATTGAAATATTCCACTCTTGCTTTTATTAGATTGGACATATATTATATTTCCACGTGTATGTGAAGTTTAATTGGGCAGCGTCAAAAATTGTGAGCGTTCGCCAAGAGGTTTTATCCGATAATCAATTAAGCTCTGGGAAGTAACTGTACAATCGTACGATCATATTCTGCTCTAAATGGTCTAAGACAATTCTCTCACTTTTTGGGTTAAGCTGTTATAATTTTGGGTGAGGGTATCTTGAAGAGTTATTGCAGTGTAAAGTTTAAGTTGGTAACGAGACTATTTCAAGGAAGCCTAATCTGAAGAAACTCCTTGTTTTCTAGCTTGTATATCCTTCAAATTGAATACTCCTAATTTCTTTCCTCTCTCATCCTCTTTCTTATAAACTTTAGCTGGGATAAATACGAGTGCCAATTTACTACTGAATTTCTTTACGGCTTTACTTTGTTTTTTTGGTAGGCGTTGAAGTGGGCGTGGCAAAAAGGTTTTAGGCGAATCTTTAGAAATTTCTAACATATATTAAAAAGTGAGAAAATATTACAACATTTTTCATGGCAGCTTTGGACCGTGTGTGGGTATTAGAGTGGGCGTGGTAAAAAGTAGTTTGGCAAATCTATAGAAATTTCTAAGATATATTAAAAAGTGAAAAAATATAACAACATTTCCCAGAAGTGTGGGCATGACACTTTGTGCGGTTTTTGGGCGTTGCAGTAGGCGTGGCAAAAGGTTGTAGGCACATTTATAGAAATTTCTAAAATATATTAAAAAAAGAAAAAATATCACAACATTTTTCAGAAGTTTGGGCATGTCAATTTTGGACGGTTTTTGGGCGTTGCAGTAGGCGTTGCAAAAAGGTTTTAGGCACATTTATAGAAATTTCTAAGATATATTAAAAAGTGAAAAAATATAACAACATTTTTCAGAAGTGTGGGCATGACAGTTTTGTGCGGTTTTTGGGCGTTGCAGTAGGCGAGGCAAAAGGTTTTAGGCACATTTATAGAAATTTCTAAGATATATTAAAAATAGAAAAAATATCAAAACATATTTCAGAAGTGTTGGCATGACAGTTTAGGGCGGTTTGTGGGCGTTGCAGTGGGCGTGGCAAAACGGGCTTAGACACATTTATAGACATTTCTAAGATATATTAAAAAGTGAAAAAATATCACAACATTTTTCAAAAGTGTGGGCGTGACAGATTCGGCGGCTTGTCAGTAGGCGTTGAAGTGGGCATGGCAAAAAGGTTTTAGGCGAATCTTTAGAAATTTCTAACATATATTAAAAAGTGAGAAAATATTACAACATTTTTCATGGCAGCTTTGGTCGGTGTGTGGCTATTAGAGTGGGCGTGTGTAAAAAGTAGTTTGGCAAATCTATAGAAATTTCTAAGATATATTAAAAAGTGAAAAAATATAACAACATTTTCCAGAAGTGTGGGCATGACACTTTGTGCGGTTTTTGGGCGTTGCAGTAGGCGTGGCAAAAGGTTTTAGGCACATTTATAGAAATTTCTAAAATATATTAAAAAAAGAAAAAATATCACAACATTTTTCAGAAGTGTGGGCAAGACTGTTTTGGGCGGTTTTTCGGCGTTGCAGTAGGCGTGGCAAAAAGATTTTAGGCACATTTATAGAAATACATCTAAGGTATATTAAAGGCTGAAAAAATATCAAATTTTACAAAAGTGTGGGCGTGACAGTTTCGGAGGTGCGTTGCAGTGGGCGTGGCAAAAAGGTTATAGGCGAATCTATAGAAATTTCTAAAATATATTAAAAAGTGAGAATATATTACATTTTTCAAAAGTGCGGTCATTGCAGTTTTGGCGTTTTGTGGGCATTAGAGTTGGCGTG